TGACGGCGCGGTGGCGGTGGCAGCAGCAGCAGCAGCCGCCGGCGCCGTGGGGCGCCGCGCCCCCCGCCCGCACGGGCACGCACGGCGCGGGCACACGCAGCACACACAGATGCCGATACGAGCGCGGCGTTCGCCCCGCCACGCCCCCGCACTTTCCCCAGCACGGGCCAACTTTCCGGTCACTCCGCCGCCGCGGACACCGCCCCGTCTGCCCCCCGTCCCCTGGGGCGATGGTCCCCAGCCACCCCCGTGCTCTCCTCGCAGCGCTCGCTGGCCGCGGCCGGGTGGAGCGGAGTGGAGCCGCGAAGAGGGGGGGGCAGCGGGAGCCGGGGGTCCGGCCGTGGGCGCTTCCTGTGCGGGAGCCTGCGCTGCGTTCGCGGAGACCGCGGGGAATTGAGTGGTCGCGGTGAAACGAAGCGACGGTTTTTGCCACGCACATCCTCCGAAACCGGGGACGCGCGCGCGTGTCGGGGCCGTTTAGTTTGTGTTTTCTCCTCTGCCCACCCCAGCCGCGGGGCGCGGAGGGAGCCGGGGCGGGGGTGCACCCACAGCAAACTAAGCGACTGCGCGGCCGCCCCTATCCCTCCCGGGCCGCTCCGGCCGGGCGCGGGCAGCAGCCCCGGCGCGGTGCGGCGCCTCTCGCCGCCGCCAGGTGGCAGCGCAGGGCGGCGGATGGGCCGCGCGGGGCCGCCCCGCGGGCTGTGCCCAGGGAAGGCGACACCGTGGGCGCCGCATTCCTCTTGTTGCCGGTGGGATCTGCGGCGTTATGCGGTGTGCTCTGGAGCGGTAACACTGGCCGGCTAGCAGTCGTGATGGTTTTTTTTTTCGGGTTCGATTTCGGTTTTTATTTTCCACCAAACTGCGTTTTTGGCCGATTTTTTAAAAAAATAATTTAGGGAAAAAAAGTCATTTATTGCATACGGTGAAAGATGTGCACATGGTCGCATTTGTGTATTCATTACTGCTGTGGGCTCTATAGATTGTAGTACATAAGCTGAATAAGTGTTATGCATTCAAGAACACATGGAGTACATCCCATGTGGACAGGACAGAGGTTGGAATCAAGCTTTAACTAAAATATAATGCTAGATGTGGTTGTGCCTTCGTGAGTTTTATTGTGTGAGTCTAAACACTGAACCATGTTCTGCATATGGTGTATGATTTCAGTACATGTATATCTTCAGCAGACCTCTGTTAACTCATATCTTAACATCCCAGTGTGCTAAACCCAGAGATGTTTGTAAAGAATCATCTTTTTCTTCTCAACCTTCCTCAAAAGGCGTATTTTTCTTCTTTGCAAACATAAAAGGAGTGTGACTCAAATCCTCTTTCCCTAGGCCTGAAATAAGCGAGATCTTATATTTGAATGGAAGACAAATTTTTTATATGGACCAAGTAATTTTCCTGACCTTGTAGAAGCTTTTGGAAATCTTCTCAGTGGGACAAAGTACTTACTTAAATTCTTAAAGGATCACTGACTTTCCCGTTTTGATGCAAAACCAATTAATTTAGTGGAAGGTTTTAGAGTGAGTTCCAAGGTGCTAATTTTAGTGAGGAAAAAAATACCGAACCACACTAGGTACTTTTCCTTCCCCCCTTACATACACTCTCTTAAGCTTTTCTAATATTCAGTATGGAATTTACAATAGTAGAACAAAAAGAATTCACAGATAGTAAGCAGAGATGTCTAACAGGAGTTTCTTATGGCCTCACTATTTTTGAAAAACATCTTTGTTTTGAATTAATAATTCTGCACTTTGAATATATGGGGTTTTATGCATATATGCTTGCATTTTTTAGGTCATATTTATAGCATCTGCCTATTTTTCTATGCTATTTTTCTCTCTGACACACAAAATTAGACACATGTAAATACTTCTTTTATTCATAACAGAGAAAGATATTTTAAATAACCCTGTCAGCTAGGCTGAGCTTAACTCTTTCCATGAAACTCTTCTGGAGAAGTTGTCATTTCATAAAACCGAAATCATGTTAAAAGCTATTATGTAAAAGTAAATATTGGAGACGTATTTCAGTTTAATTGTTCTGATCCTGTACTAATGAGATATTAAAATGCATCATAAATAGAAAATCTGATTTAATTAAATCTTTCTTCTGAGTTGTTAGACTGCTAGATTGTTTTAGTAGCATGCATGAGGTTTAAATAGTTATTAGTGTAGAACTATCATGCTGGTGTTCCATTCGTTTTTATTCTGATTAACATTTTATTTTTAGTAATAGACCTTAAAGTTCTGTAAAGTTTTTCAGAATTTTTATTTCAATATGGATGACTAGTATGAGAGAACCCAGCTCTATATTGCGTACTGGAATTGGAATTAGACTCCATTTGAATGGAGTCTAATTCTAATTGGAATGGAGTCTGCATAGTCCAAAAGTATTTCTGACAGTGAAAAGTTACATCTGAATGTTGAACTGGAACTGTCACTATAAACCGAAGCACACAAACATCAAACAGTAAATGCTGCTAAATTTACGAGAAATAAAGATGTTTTTATTATTATAGTGCTGCCTCTTGCTAATTTATCTTTCGTCTACGTTTCATTAAACTGGGAAATCCTAAAAGCCTTTAAACTGAAATACTCAGGAGGAAAGTTGGAAATAACTCATATAATCCAGACATGGAATAAAAATAGAGGGACCTGAGTGAAGATGGAACAAGAGAAAAGATGAATAAACAAAAGGATATGGGGCATACATGCATTATATATATAACAACTTGTAAGTGTACCCCTTTTCTATAGTACTTCAATCAACGACAGTGGCAGGAATGATTGATCTAGCACGTGAAACCAGATATGGGAAACCAGGAATATGGAGGTTCCAAAGTCATTAAGGGACACACTGAAACAGAAGGATGGACACTCTTTGTTTAGTTCATGCACTAAAACGTATTAAGGAGTGAAGACTGTTAATAGTGTAATAAAAATGTTTAAATCTGAGGGTGAAGATGAGATAGTATGCATTTCAATGAAAATCATTGAGCAAAGGTTAGGAAAAATACTTAATAGGGATGCAATTTATTGTGAATCTGCTGGTACAGATTTGATCTGGATAATAGTGCCGACAAGTAAGGTGGGGGGTGGGGAAGCAAAAGTTGAGATTGTGTGATCATGCAAATTTGTGTGATTTCTCATGGGTAAATATCAGCAAAAAGTTCAACCAGTGATGCTGGGGATGATGAGATTTTGAACATTATAGAAAATTATAGAAGATTACTTCTTTTATGGAACAGACACTGAGGCAAGGATAACTTAGACTAAATCTTAGTAAATGATAGGATCTACAGGAAAAAATTATAGAAAATAAATGTGATTGTTTAGAGCTTTTCTACTTCATGTGAAGTTGCAAGACAGAAGAATGTGAAGGATCTATAACAGCAGTCCAGTGTTTCAGAAAGGCAAACAAAAGCAAAAACAATTAGTGAGGAGTACAGGAAGTAGAATTTACATAACGTGTATTACTGTATGTAAAAAAAAAAAAAGCAAATGATATTAAATGTTTACACTGGAGGAGAGGGAAAGAAATGAAATAGCCCCTCTAAACAGGGATGAAAAAGAATTTCCAGAAAGTAGCAACCTTAAGCAAGTTATTAAAAGTAAGCACAAAACCTAAAAAGAATGGAAAAGAGATACTGATTAGCAAGAAGAAATCTGCATCAATAGTTTGAAAGTGTAAAACCAAGCTGAGAATGGTCAGAAATCTTGTTAAACCAAAACTTACACAGAAGCCTGAAACATAGTAAAAACTTCTTAAGCCATGTAAGTAACATGAGAAGAAGTGGGATGGATGTTAAAGGATGAGGTAGACATTAAGAATAAAGTAGACCTGGACTAAATAGATACTGGAAAAGTTACCTCTGTTTCTGATAAGAATTTTTATATATAAAGAGAAGTCACATCATCAGTATATCTGGTCCTGCATGGCCCAAGCATTTGGTCCAGCAATATTCTGTCCTAAAGTACTGAAAGGATCAACACATGAAATTCAAGTCCAAAAGTAAGCAAGTCAAAAATTTTGGTGAAAGTTAGAAAAGGATACAGTACATAATCTTGAGAGGGGGGTTATCTAAATGTCTTTAGTGGATTTTGTTGGTGGCCAGTTTTTAGCCCAGTCCCTTGTAATACACTTAGTGCTGATTTCAGGGTGTAAGATAAGTGCGTCTGGACAGAGTTTGTAGACCACACAAAATTAATATTTTTTCTGAGAAACAGATGTGTTGAGATACATCGTGGAATCATAGAATCATATTGAGGTTGGAAAAGCCTCCAAGACCATCGAGTCCAACTGTCCCCCAGCACCGCCAAGGCCATCAATAAACACATGTCCCCAAGTGTTACATCTACATGGCTGTTAAATCCCCCCAGGACTGGGGACTCCACCCCTTCCAGGGCTGGATAACCCTTTCAGTGAAGAAATATTTCCAATATTCAACCTAAACCTCCCCTCATGTCAATATATATACTA